GGATGCAAGCCAGCATTTTGGTCACTTTACTAGCTGCAGCATCGCATTGCAGGCTTATGTTCATCTTGTGGTCAATGATGACACCCAAGTCTCTTTCTTCTGTAGTGCTAGCCAGCATAGCACTGCCGAGCCTATAAGGATGCTGCAGGTTTTTCCTCCCAAGGTGGAGAACCTTGCATTTTTCAGTGTTAAACACCATCAGGTTCTCATCCGCCCATTTGCTGAGCCTGTCCAGGTCAGCCTGGATTGCCCCCCTGTCTTCTGGTGTGGATGCTTTGCCCCAAAGTTTGGTGTCATCGGCGAACTTGGCCAGTCTGCTTCTGACTCCAATGTCCACATCATTAATGAAGATGTTGAACAATATGGGTCCAAGGACAGAGCCCTGGGGTACCCCACTGGTCACAGGGCACCATGATGATTGACTTCTGTCAACTGCCACCCTCTGGATCTGGCCATGGAGCCAAATTAGTGGAATGACCATTACAAAGGGGAGATGATCGTTTACACCTGTGAAGTAAAGAACAATAGGTTATTAATGGGTCATTGACTCCCTTAGCTGCCTGAATAGTAATAGCAGAGTTACACCACACCTGCCTGCCCCTTTGTGGGGGGGCAGTGTCCCAGATTTCACATTGTCTCATATGGTCACCCTAATTATTGCAGATTGGACAAGGGAAGGATATTAGAGTGGCACTCAGGGAAGGTGCATGATTAATTCATGGCATGCCAGCCAAAAATGTTGGTCTCCACTGGACTAGGTGATTCCTGAAATTCTCAGATTCTGTCATTAACAACAAAGTACTGCAGCAGCACCCTCCAGCATTCATGGGATTTCAGGGTTTAAACAAATAAGCAAGTTATCTTGAGTTCAATAGAGGTCTGGGTTTTATTACAGAGCACCTAGTGTATAGTGACTGTCCATGTGCTGAATTGACTCCATGGTAAGTGAAAGGTAAGTGGTTGCTCAGTGCTGTTTCACTGAGGAGTATGGTATGGAAACAGATGTCAGCTGACATCTCATTTGTGCCTCCTTAAAAATGTTTACAGCATCACAAAATGTGAGGAAATAGATGTTGCTACCTTTTGTTGCACCACATCAAAGGGAAATAAGGTAGTAATAGACTCTGCTGCTTTATTGTGGCAGACATCTCCTAGCTCTGAGGCAAGACAGTACAGGCCATCTGAGTTGCTCGTACTCTCCAGCCACCCTGGGCAGGTGCTCTGAGGGACTTGAGGGTACCTCAAGATCCTGGAGCACCTGCCTACTTTCCCCATTTGCTGAGAGGCATCCTAGGAAATCTCAGGGTGCCTCTCCATAAGAGGGGGGTTGGGTTTTCCCACTCAGCCAGATCCATCCCCTGCAATCACAGGAACAGGTCTGGCAGAGCAGGGAAAGCAGGGCTTTTCTCTGTTCAGCCAGGATCACTCCTGCGATTATGGTCAGGCTGAGTGGGGATAGCAGAGAGATCCCCATATCCATTGTCCCACACCATCAAGGGGGAACCAAGGGATGATGGGTGTTTTGCCTACTTCAGCAGATCAGCTGTGCCGTAACCCATCGTGGCACAGCTGATCCACTTCAATTAGTGCTGTTTGTTTCTAGCCAAGGTTTAGCTTTCAGTTAGTTTGAGATAAATGTGAGCACATGGACAGTCACTGCACATCAGCCACTCTGCAGTAACAAACCACCCCCTTTGAACTCACTGTCATTTGCTCTTTTTCCTAGCTCCTGAGAATGCATTATGAAGCCTACAAACTGGTGCAATCAATATTATCCCCATCTCTCAGGTGGGTAAACACAGAAGGGTTATGAAACTTGTCCCCAGCCACACTGGGAGTCAAGCCCAGAGAGAAATGGTGTGGGCTGGTTTCCTCCTAGCCAGGCATAGGGACCATATGTGAGGGAGAAATGCTGGGCTGTGACTATATGCACCGTTTCTCCCCTGGATCACTGAAGAACAGGGGCAAATTCTTACCAGAGCTACCATCTCCCATGCCCTTATCTCATTAGATCTGGCTGTGTAGACAAAGGCCATCCAAAGCACAGCAGCCTCTCTTGCCTCTTACCCTTCTACCTATATGCAGTCTGTGGTTGCAAAGAAAGCAATGTTCAGTGATCACAACTAGCTGAAGTAGCTTGATCCCATTTTTTTGTCCCTTTTTTGGCCAGATCAAAAAGTTTCATTTACATTTCATTTTCAATAGCATTTTTTATGGAAAAAATCAAAATGAAGATGTTTTAGACATTTTAATTGAAAAAATCAAAATTTTCCTAAAAATGCAAAGGACATTATTTTATTCATGATCTGTCAAAAACAGATTTGAAGCAGCTCCTCAAGTGGCCAGGCTCTGGCACACTCTGTCCTGTTCCAAATGGTAGTTTGCTTTCATCATGGTGAAACTTCTGTCTGGCTGTTGGGCTGAGCAGAAGCACAAAAGAATGAGGAGCTCTTTGCTGCCAGGTGTGAGTGTCCCAGAATGTCACTTCCCGCAGCACTCTTGGAAGCAGGCTAAGGAAGTATGGGCTGCATGAATGGACTGTAAAGCGGATAAGAAGCTGGTTGGATCATTGGGCTTAGTGGGTACTGATCAATGGCTTGAGGTCTAGGTGGCAGCTGGTATCAAGTGGAGTGCCCCAGGAGTCAGTCCTGAAGCCAGTTTTGTTCAATATCTTCATTAACGATCTGGAAGGTGGGATGGATTGCAAGTTCGCGATGACACCAAGCTGGTGTAGAGTACATATGCTGGAGACAGTCCAGTGGAGGGTAATGAAAACGGTTTGTGAGCTAGGGCACATTACTTACGAGGAGAGGCTGAGGGAACTGGGTTTATTTAGTCTGCAGAAGAATTGACTTTAATAGCAGCCTTCAGCTACGTGAAGGGCGGTTCCAAAGAGGATGGAGCTGGACTGTTCTCAGTGGTGACAGATGACAGAACAAAGAGCAATGGTCTCAAGTTGCAGCAAGGGAAGTTTAGGTTGCATATTAGGAAAAGCTTTCTCATTAGGAGGATGTTGAAGCACTGCAATGGGTTACCTAGAGAGGTGGTACAATCTGTTCTGTGTGAACAAACTTTCCATCCTCTGAACTCTACTGCCCAGGGGATGGTTTTGGCACCAAGCCAACTCTCTCTCCTGCCTCCAAGGTGTGACCTTCCCACCCTCAGGGATGCAAACCCTGGCAGCTAGCCAGGTCACATGTCATTGATGGGTCCAGGAGTGGGGTCAAGAAGAGCGTGTGTGTCGGGGGGGGGCTTCCTTCCTGGGCCAGAGGCAATAGCTCCCCCCAAAGCATCTTCCCTCCTCCCAGCCACCCCATGAACCATGATCAACAATGCCCATACCCCAAACCCAAATTCCAATTTATTAAAACATGAGACTTTAATTTACTTCCTCTTTATTTCTTTTTAAATTCTTTGTTTTTATTACTTCTCTTCATTTTATTGTTCAGTGACTGGCTTCCTTTCTGCTTTGTGCTGACTGAGGGACATTGTGGAAGCGACGTGCACCTAAATATCCTGGGTGGACTTGTGCTCCTCACTTGTTGTCTGTGACACGTGTTTCTGTAGTCGCCATCCCTATTATGTTAATATTCACCACCACCACCCTGTGCTTGTGTGTACTGTCTGCTGTTGGTGAGTACCAAAATTGTCTTGTAAAAGTGGTAGAAATGGGTCTGGGGGTTAGTACAGTCAAGGTCTTAGACCGTATCCCTATTTGTTGCATTGTAAAATGGGTTCCCTTTATACAAATTTGCGTTATATGCTGTTTTCCAGGAATGCATGTACAGCATAAAGAGGGGGAAACCTGTACTTTGAATTTGCACCCTCACCCATTTTGCAAGAGCTCCTCTCTACAGCTGGACCTTCACACTGATGTTTGGTTGTATTGTTAAGAAGATATGAAACAGAATGCAATGCAGAGCCCCAGCATCAGCACACAATGAGGAAAGCTGTATGTGGGTTCCTCACAAGAGTCCAACCCTTCACTGGGGCCCATGTTGGGATTGCCCTAAGGTATATCACAAACTGCAGAACATGGTTCATGGGGAGTATCATTATGTAGCTGTGTTCAATTCAGTGACTGAAAACGTTACAGGATTCTGCATGGTCTCCAGGCTGCAAATAGGTATATTGCTTGCCACTCATTTGCAAGGCTGCTACACATTTGCTTCAGAAGACCATCAACAAGCCCTGAATTGCATCACACCCCTCTTCCCTCTCTGCAGTAAAAGGCAAAGGCTTGTAGCAGTTCCTTAGAAGTATATTACATGAACAGTGAGGATTCCCAGATTCCTTGGTGTTGCCAGGCCCACTGGGTGGATCTGCTTCAGAATCATTTAGAAGGGCTCAGATAGGGAAATGTCTTGCAGCGTTCTATGTAGGGTTCATAGATTTTTAGGGTCAGAAAGGACCTCAGTAGATCATCGAGTCTGAACCCCTGCCCTGGGCAGAAAAGAGCGCTGGGGTCAGATGACCCCAGCCAGGGGCTTGTCCAGTTTCCTCTTAAAGACTTCCAGGGTAGGGGAGAGCACCACCTCCCTTGGGAGCCCATTCCAGATTCTGGCAACCCTTACCGTAAAGATGTTCTTCCTGATGTCCAATCTAAATCTGCTCTCTGTCAGTTTGTGGCCATTGTTTCTAGTTACCCAAAGGGGCGCCCTGGTAAACAGAGTACCTCCTATTCCTTGCTGCCCCCCCCCGCCCCGGTTAATTTGGAGATGGCCACAAAATCATCTCTTATCCTTCTTTTGCGGAGGCTGAAGAAACCCAGGTCCCTCAATCTCTCCTTGTAGGGCCTTGCCTACAGGCCCCTAACCTTACGAGTAGCCCTCCTCTGGACCCTCTCAAGGTTATCCACAGCCTTCTTGAAGTGCGGCGCCCAAAACTGGATGCAGGTTGTGAGAGATGTTATTATATAGATGTTTGATATTCATCTCCTGGCTGTGATATGGAAAGTCAGTCTGTTCTAAAGGGTATCAATGCTGAAGAAAATGTTTGATGAACAAAAGGAAAGAGGTGGGGAGAAAACCAGACATAAGAATGTGCCAGGGTCAAACCACCTCTTATAGAGAAAAGGGTAAAACACAAACACATTAAATCAGCCCAGTATTTAGGTTAGAGAAAAGCTGAATACAGATCTGAACCTCAGGAGTTAGAGTATAAGCCCTGGATCAAAATAAACTTCTCCCTGTTGGTTCATGGTGGGATCCCAAACCAGAAGGAACTGGTCTACAGGCCTGGTTCAGAAAGGATTGAAATCTACAGTGGATATTCGTGTTTGGTTTAGTTTGACCAAAGCTCACTAGAATAGCTAACATTAGAAGATTACCTGTATTCAAGGAGGAGGTTATCCAACCATTGTCTTTATCATCGCGAAAGAAAGAAGTTGTCGTAGGTGCAACTGGGCCATAGGTGACGAGGGCTCAATATTTGGAGGGCATCCACCTGAGACTCAGGAATAAGCCGAGTCAGGAAGCAAGAGGTCACAAACCTGGAGTCAAGGGTCGGGGATAACAGACCAGAACTAGAACTAGAACTAGGAGCCAGGCAGTAGGGGCTATGAACCAGGCAACTGGAAGCTAGCAACCAGGGACTGGGAACTGGACACCAGGAGCTGAGGGGGAAGGGGGCATGGGATCTTACCTCCTTCTGATTTCTGAACTCAGGCAGCAGCTGCTACAGCTTCTGCTGTAGCAACTTGAGCTTCACTGCTGCATCTGAGGGACAGGCTCACTGCACACTGCCGCAGCAGCCTAGCCAACATGGGCTCCATGGGACTTTTCCTAGTGCCCCATTCATTCCCCCATCTCCCCAAAATATGCTTCTGGGTGCAAAGCTGTATCTCCCATAGCAAAACCTCTTAAGGGAGGGGGGAACATTACACTCACCTTGTTCACCCCTCTCGCCGACAGATTAAATAGGGGCATGGGGTTGCACCTGCCTGGCTTCTGTGATCGAGCTGCCCTGTTGTGGACAAGACTCCTGGGGAGGGGGAGCATATTAGTGCCCCTCCATATTGGCGCTGGGGCCTTAGTTATACTACTGAGTTATAATATATGGAGGGGCATCTGATTGGGTTGGGGTGGGTTGGTAAAATATCTTGGTTTTTGTGAATTTGGTAGTGAGTCCAAGCATTTCAGACACTTCACAGAAGTAATCAAGACGGACCTGCAGCTCTTCAACTGAGTGAGCACACACAACACAGTCATCAGCATATTGGAGACAAGTAATGGAGGTGTTGGTAATATTAAATTTGGGACATAACTAACTGATGTTAAAGAGATTACCATCCATGCAATATTGGATGCTGGCTCCAGATAGAAGTCAGTCACCAATGGGATACAGAATAACTGACATACAGATGGAAAAGAGTGTTGAGTCAAACAAGAATGTGATTGCACCCAGTTCTAATAGTGAAGGTGTCCATTTCTGAGCCATTGTTTAAGATGGTTGCTGTTATGCCAGCGGGAGGAAGTCTGAAGATGGTAACAAATTTTGGTGGGCACCCAAATCTCATCAGGACTTTCCATAGTGCCTCTCTTTTGATTGTATCAAAGGCCTTAGTCAGGTCAATGAGGGCCATGCAAAGATCTCAGATTTATCCTACCTCTGAATGGTCTGAAACCAGACTGGGACCTGGATAGGATCTCCTCAGTGAGGAAAATTAGTCTTTTGAAGAGAATGCAGAGAAGGATCTCCCAAGATATAAACAACAGTTCAAAACCATGATAATGGCTGCAATCCAATCTATCTCCTTTCTTAAATACGGTAATGATTCTGGCATTTTTCAAATCTCTAGGAATCTGTTCATGTTTCCAGATTTTCATGATCATGACATATAATTGGTGACTAATAATGTTGGGTAGAACTGAAAGGGCTGCTGTTTATATACCAGCAGCCACACCCATGCCATTAATTGGGGCCAGCTGGAGGTATTCAGCTACCCGCCAATCTCAGGGGGCTGGTGAGCCTACCTGCTGCCCTGACTTCTAACAAGGATCTGATGAAAACAGCTTGTGTGAGATTTCAGCAGGGGAGAATTTCAGTCAGACTCTTACTGCTCAATCAGCCTCCAACCTAAACTCTGACCCCAGCCTAAATTTACTGCTGCTCCCAACATTGCTGAAATGTGTTCATCTCTGATTTCAGACGGACCTTCCTAAGACCTCGAAAGCTAAGCCTTCTTTTCCCTTCCTCCGTGGATTCCTGCCTGCGTCTTATCAGCTGTTCAAACCCATTCATATTTTCTATGGGGCTGTATTGACTGGAGGTGTTGAAGAAAAATAATATTTAAAGGTGAATGGAAAAGACTGTCCCTGCCAAGCCTTGAGCTCAGAGCTTTGAACGTCTTATGCAATGATTGGTGAAATAACCAACAAGTTTATATCAAAGGAGAGAACTAGCTACTGCCCTGCGTCTGCTTTAGGTATCAATAATCTCAATAGTCTTCCTACTGACGTGTCACCTATGTAGAGCCCCTTGGATCCCACAGGATCCCAACAAGCTGCCAATATGCTGCATGCTGTAGCCATGGAAAGCAGCCACCTCTGGGTGAAAAGTATGAGCCAAGTGGCAGACAGTGCACTGTGTGATGACTTGAGGGGGAGGATAGGGGTGGGGGGGGTGCAGGGAAAGGGACCCAGTCCTAAATACCAGAGCGAAACAGGTGAAACACATCAGCTGTGGGATCTTTAACTTTTCACATTCACACTGAGCCAAGAGCAGCCTTGGCTTTAAATGCTTTTGTCCAAAAGACAGACACGGGGTCATTTCACAGGATTTAGTTTAGCTGCTTTGGAAGGATAACTAGAAAAGAGGCTGATCTGAGACTGTGGGGACCTGAACTGTGATTCCAAGAGCTCAGATCTGAGGCTTAGCTCACTGATCACAGTTCCTGGCTGGCAGGCAGTGGAGGGACAGTTATTTAACTGCTTTGTCTGTACTGTGCCAGTCTTCTCCTAGACTCTGAAGAGGCGATGCTTATAGTTGGCAAGGGAGTGAAGTGTGCAGGGGCTTCGTGTGTGACATTTACACTGGGGTGAATTAAACCCTGATGGATTTACCATTATAAACAGGTTGAGCTTTTTCTTAAGTATAGTTGCCCCTTTGGCCTCAGCGATTAGCCAGGATTTGGGTCCTTGCCAGCTTGTTTCCATTAGGAGGAGAAATTGGTAATGGAGTCAGGGATTTCTTTGGTGCAATCCTGTTTATTTACAAAGACTGAACACAGCGTCCTTCCCCCATGGACACAATACAACAAGCAACAGCAGGCAGGCTCCTTGCTCCCGATTCCCACACCTGCCTTTCCTGTCAGCTCTGTGCCCCAAGGCACATTTGTCCCTGGACCCTCTCAGGGTCACACTCAGGACCGCTTCTCTTTGCTGTGCAATTGCTTTTGGCCTTTCGCACCCACACACATACAAATAGCTGCAACCAATCAATGCCTCAGTCCTAGTATTTGCAAGTAGTCCCCATAGAAAACATTTTTATGCTCTGTGAGTTAATTCTTACTTGGGCCTTCCCTTGTGGCCAAGTGCCTTGGGCAGTAGCTTCAACCTTCAACTGTTTCAGGCTCTTCCTTTCTTTT